AGGCCACTGAGCCAATACGCCAGAACGTCCATGATGATTCGTCCTGAGGCGCGGTACAGGGTAAGTCCATACGTGGTTACAACCTTCATGTGTTCACCCTCCTCATCGGGAGAATGGGAATGTCAGAATGGGAATGTTAGTTTTTATATGGGATGTACATTAGTACAGTGTTGAAGTACTTCAGGATAAGCTTCTGGAGGCAAAAGAAACAGTTTGTCTGAAAACATGCAGACTTTGACTGTGCTTTCACTGTCTCAGGCAGAGAACATTGTGTTGCTGGAACTGGACATGCCCAACCGAACAACAAGAGACTATGAGGGGCCAGCCATCGCTCCCAAAGTTCAGGCAGCTCTAGAAGCGGCTCTGCAGGATGAGGATGAGATACAGGTGGATGCTTCAACCTTTGAGAGCACTTCCAATAAAAAATCAAAACCCAGGTGAGTTGGACTCTCACAAGCAGGCTGACAGGAGCAGAGCCCAGGTACGGTTGCTGTCTGTCAGCACTGCTCATCAGTGAGGGCTCAGGTGTAGAGCAGAGAAGGGGATGCAGGACAGAAGAGAAAGCTGAGGCTGATTAGAGAATAAATGCAGTAAAAATCAGCTTTTGGAAGACTTTTTTTTTGACAAGTGACAGGTGACACTGTTGGGGCTTTTTTTCTTATTTTTTCATTTTGATTTCTTCAGGCCTAAAACTGGAAGGAGATCGGGGGGACCCTCGTCAGCAGGGCCCCACAGTTCTCAGCTGTACCCACAGTCCCGGGGGCTGGTTCCCAAGTAAAACCAGCAGTTCCTCTCCAGGGCACGAACTGCCTTTGCCTTCTGAGAGCAGAGACAAGTACAAACTGCAGAGAACTCCCAAGGCAGCCTCCAGCCCCCTCCCCTGGAGATGTCCTCTGCTGCTAAACTGACTTGTGCCATTCCAGGGGCACTGAGCCTTGCAGGAAGATCTGTGCTTGCAACTCGGCTTTTGGCCTCTGTGGGAAACAGACTTTAGTTAGGAAATCAGAACTGCATGAGGTACGTTAAAGTGTATTAGAAGCAATGGGAAGCATGTGGATCACCTCACAGCATCACCATCTCTCCTCCTGCACTCGCCCTCTTGCTGCACTGGGCTTTTTTGCTGTTGGGCAATAAGAAGAGTTGAAAGTCATCTCAACAGAAGCACCAGAGCTCCGTAGTGAGAACCAAAGGAGTCTAAAAAGCAGAGGATCTGTTCAAATTTGATTAGGTGCTTAGTTTTTCCATCTTCCTGCTTGAAAGACTGGCATCGTCATTTGGGGTTAAGCAGCAGGTCTGGCCAGAGGGGTTGGCAGCGCTCAGCCTGTGCTCACCACCAGATGGCTGTGCCTCCCTTAGAGCTGTAGGACAAAAATGGGGTCTTAAAAGCAACTTTGTGCTCTCTAGAAGGGAAGCAGTGGAAACTGAAGTCCCTTCCTTGTTTACAGACATAAGTAAGAGCTCCTCTAAACTGATCTCCTGCAGACCTCACCCCTACCAACAGGAACCACCTTGTCAGAGAACACATCTGCACACCAGTGCCAGCTTCGCAGCTCTTCCTCTCTCTTGCCTCCATCCATACCCCTGGCATTTGAAACCTGTGTCCATACGAAGTCTCTAAGCTGCAGGGTGACAAACAGCCATTTTCTCACGTCTCCCACATGAAATATCTCTTCATGGGAAATGTAGCATTGGCTCAGAGCTGGCTTCCAGCAGGCTCATGGAGCTGACTCTGCTCTTCCCAGTGAGCTGGGCAGAGCACCGAGATGTGGAGCTGCCTTTGAGCGCACTCTCCTTGTAAGTACAGTCCCTTCTCTTGGTGCCCAAGGAGGTTCAGCGTTCGGTACCTCTTGTGCCTCACCTATTCCATGTTAGCAGCTTTGCCTTTGCACCTCCCAGCCCATGCAGAGCCCACCGGGAGCAAAAGCACAAGTCTGGGTATTGGAATCTGGTACCAATTCCAGGGGTTTTACTTTGGAAACAAGAGAGGGAGAACTGCTTTTGATGGTCTCTTTGCAAAGCTGCCCTATGACTAAAGCAGGCTCCTGTGGTGCTGCTGGCTCATGTGGCAGGGTTGAGGGAGGTGCAGCTGCCACACTAAGGAGAGTTAAGGTGTCCCTGTCTAGTGTCTCACAGCTCATGTGTAAGTTTTAGTTCACTGTATATTGCGACTTGGGATGTTGCTTTTTCTGGTTGCTGTTGGCTGTCATTCTACAAACGCATTTACCCATTTCCTCTCCCTGACTGATGACTTCCTCCAGACTGACACGTGCGAGTGTATGAGGACTTGCCTGGTTTTAGACATGCTCTGAGGTGTGGGCTCTGCCTCGTGTGCTGGGTGTCTGCTGAGCCGCTTCACCCAGGCTGCAGAGCCCCCGGGGCAGAAGGACACAGCTCACGTCGCATCCTGCAGGCATGGTGCCTCGGTGAGCTGCCCCCGTGTAACACTGCTTGGATTTGTGGAGTGCTTTTCTGGACCTCAGGATTAATATGTATATTAGTTTTGGTGGAAGAAAGAGGAGTTTGCTTGTAATTGTGAGAGCAGGCATCTGACAAATGGCTTTCAACATGGAAACCTGACATAATTTTCCTTTTTATAAAGCACTGTTTATGTACAGGGCCTTTTATCTGGCTCTTGTTGCATAATGTAATGTTACCTTCTTTTCCCTCTCCTCCCTCTTTCTCTCCAGCACATCCTTGTCTGTGCTTGGACATTTTAAAAGATGATTGTATGGTGCAAGTGCTCAGAGTATGAAACAAAGGGGTCCAAAACCTGAAATAGCAACAAAATACATAACCACGTGCATGTACATACCTGTGTACATGTATGTTTTATGTGACTCATGAATACCCAGGCACATCTGTGCCTGCACGTGCGCACACACTTCCTCAGTTGCTGCTTTTCCATGGGGAATTCTCTATTCAACTCACATGCTGGAAACTCCGCTCGTGGCAGGGCCGGGTCAGTGGAAATGGCAGTGCAAACCCCACTGGTCTGTTGTAGTGTTTAGCTGGTTGGTACGTCAGACAGCCTCTGCTTTTAATTCTGTAGCAATTCATTAGCAAGGATGGGAAAAGAATAAACCTGGATATTTAGTCACTGTATTTAAATTGAGGCTGTGGCTGGAGGTTTGGTTAGCGTGTTCATGGGCAGATCGTCACACGAGCTTTTATTCTCATTCTGATGGACTCGCCCTCACCCTTCTCTGTGTGGGTGCCCCTCAGTGGCACTGACACCGCAATAGAGACATTGTCTTATGCTGCAGGGAACATGCTGAGCTCTGGGTAGAAGTTTGTAAGAAGCATTCCTGAGCGTTTGCCCCTCTCCGGGTGTTATCTGAACCATCTGGGCTTCCTGCAGCTTAACGGCCAAAGGCAGGAAATCAGCTGCCTCCTGGAAGAGGCCCTCGGCCACTCTGCGCCCTCCATTTCTTCATAGGAATGTTTCACATCCTCCTCTTTGCTCGGCTCTGTAGGATGGGATCTTTTTTAAACAGCACCACGGAGGAGTCCGCCCGTGGCTCTGGGCACAGGCACCACGTCACGGTGAGGCCTAGGAATTAAAGCACTTTCTTAAAGTCCTTTATGTAGCTCTAAAGCCTTTTTAAAGCATTTGCATGCTGCTCGAACCCCCTAAACCACACACGTCCGTCCAGCAGCTGGGGCTGGCAGATTAGAGCTGTGCTCAGTGGGGTTTTAGGTGTCAATCTGCCTTTGCTGACACTTGCGTGCTGCAGGGTTTCAGTGAGACACCTGCAAAGCTGGATCCGTCCTCTCCTCCGTCTGTGTAAGGCTTTCAATGGCTCAGAGCCACTCCTGGGGCTGTTTCTGCTGTGTTCAAGCACAGATTGGAACAGATAACTTGCAAACCGTGTGACTGACGTGGAAATAGAACGGCAGTGAGAACACGGGTCCTGCCTGTGCTGTGCCTGTGGGCCAGGGGCCGTCTCCAGCCCTTCTCAGCCTGAAGCAGGAGCCGCAGGCAGTGTCCATGTGAGAACTCCCAGCTCCCTGGAGATCCGCCCATCTCCACTTCCTTTAGGTGATCTGTAGACAACCTGTCAATAGTTCTGTCCATAGTTTTACAGCTTGTATTTATTTGTATCATCTCTTTTGTCTAGGAATGTAAAGTGAGCCTAAGATACAACGTCTAATAAAAGTCAATGAGATTTATTGCATCTATCGAAACGCGGCAGTTGTTCATTCTTAGTTTGTGAGTAATGGCAGAGCTCAGTGACTTACAGTCACCTCGAGATCTGACTTCATGGCTTACAAAGCCTGTGGTATTTTTCTTCCAAAAAGTAAATATTTGGGCAATCTACATTATTATTATTAATGGCGCTGAAGGAACTCCCAGCAACCGGCGTCCTCTACCCGGGCAAGGCTGGCTCCGTGTGAAGCAGCTGCAGGGCACAACAGGGGTTCTGAAAGGCGACCGCGGACAGACCCCATCTCCCTCCTCGCGGCGGCAGGAGGCCGATTGCGTGACAGCCCCCGGTATAACCGGAGCCCGCTCCGCCAGACCCGGGCGGTGCCGCTCCTCCAGCCACTGCCCGGGATATGGGGCCCCGCGGCTCTGAGGGGAGGCCGCGGCCTGTCCCAGCATGCCGCGCGGCGCGCGCGGCGCCCGCCGGGAGCTGTAGTCCGCAGGGACACGTGAAGCTTCCGCGTTTGCGGAGCCGCGGACTACAACTCCCAGCAACCCTTGCGGTTTGTTTTCCTTCAAACGAGGCCCAGGCCCCTCCGCGCGCCTCGCGCTCCCGGCTCCTCCCCTTTCGGTCGCGGCGCGCGGGTCCCGCCGTGTCCCGCCGCGGCCACCGTCGCCGAGTCCCGCCTCCTTCCCCCCCGCTCCCAGCCCTTTGACCCCGGTGTTATGTCGGGCCCGAGCCGCCGCCGCCGCCTCCTCCTCCGGTAGCGCCCGGAGCCGCCCCCGCCTCGCGCCCCGCCCGCCCCGCCCGCGCGCGCCCCGCCCCGTTCCCCCCCCTCCTCCGCCGCCACCCGCCGCCCTCCCGCCCGCGCGCGCCTAACGGTCCGCGCCCGCCGCGCCGCCGCCCCGCGCGGGAGGAGGATGAAGGAGATGAAGCAGCGGAGGAAGAAGGAGCGCACGTGGGCCGAGGCCGCCCGCCTGGTGAGGGGCGGGGGGGAGCCGGGGCCCAGGGGCCTGGGGCGGACCCCGGGGAGGGAGCGCGGGCGCTGCGCCGGGCCCAAGGGGCCTCCCCCGCCCCGGGGCTCCGCTCGCCGCCGGCCCCTCCTCGAGTAACGGGGCGGGGGGGCGGGTCCTCCCCGCGGGCCCGGGCTCTGCACCGGTGGCACCCCCCCCCACCGGTTGTTTTCCTTCGCGAGCCGGGTGGGAGGGGGAGGGCCCAGGAGGGGGGGGCCGGGAACGGGGTCCCGGGGCCGCCGGCTCCTCCCGCGGGGCTGTGGCGGGTCCTGGGGTTCGCTGCCCCGGGTGCTCCCCGCAGCCCGGCTGGGGCTCGCTGTGGGGACGGGGCCGTTCCCCTCCGTTAAGGCTCGGAGGGGGAACTGGCGGCCCGGCCCGGCCCGCGGGCACTGCTGCCAACAGCAGGTCCCGGTTTAATGCCCGGGGAGCCGGTTCTCCCTGCCCCAGCAGCGCCCTGGCCGCGGGCGGTGGGAGCGGTGCTGAGCCCGGGGCAGCCGCAGCACTCGTGCTTTGGGAGGTGCAGTTCAGGGCCTGTCCTGAGCCTCTTGGCTTTGAGACTCTGCTTGCTGAAGGCTTCAACCTCCAGGGCTGGGGCTGCTCCGGTTCCTGGGGACACTGCTGGGGTTTGACTTGCGGCAGGAGGGGGCTGGTGCCCTCCATGGAGCGTTGGTGTGGCTTGACCCCCGCTTGGGAGCTAGCAGAAAGAACTGAAGCATCTCGCAGGCAGTGAGTGTGAAGTTTGATGAGAGGGCTGCTCATGGAGCCGTGTGTGTGCCCGTGGTCACTGCTGCCCATGGCTGCTTGGAAGGAGCTCGCTGCCTTCGCTTTCCACTGTGGAGCTGGTCGGTGACGTGGATCTGTGCAGGTACAGGAGGACCAGCACACAGAGCACGGGGTGACCCGAGTCCCTGTGCTTGGCGTGCACGCAGCCCTGCGCATGGATGTCAGCAGGAACGGGTTTGCAGGGCTCGAGGGTGTTTTGTTTCCCTGCTTCTCCTCTGTGTGTGTTCACTGTGGGTTTGCCTGGCCCAGGCTGTGCCGTGGAGCACATCAAGTTCAGCAGCAGCAGTGTGGTGCCTCGGGTCTGGTGCTGAGGGTGGTCAGGATGGGTCTCGGTGCTCCTTCTGAGGAAGATTTGTTTGGCTCTCCGAGTGTTTTCCTACCACGTGCCAGGAGGAAAGCTAAGCAGAGAAGCATCTCCCAGCAGCCTGCACCAGCTTTTGTGTGTAAATGGTGATATCCTAGACCCACATGACTCTGCTTGAAGAGCTGCAGAAGGTCAGAGCCAGGCACAGCGGGAATGGGGTGGCCCAAAGCCTCACTGGGTGCTTCTCTTTGAGGTCCTGGTCACTGCGGGTGACAGGGATGCTCCTGGTAAGTGACCTCGGGGGCAGAGGCAGTGTGAGGTGACCTTGCATAAAGTCACCTCATCCCAAAGTCCTGGGCTCTAACAGGGGAAGAAAAGCAGTATTTAGTCTGCTCAAAGCAGAATGTGAGGCTGTGACTAAAGCAGATCCTCGTGCACCTCCTCACCTCCATATGATGGAACAGGGATCTCTCCACACAGATCCTCTCACCTGCCTTTTGGCCAGAGCCTCGGGTGCATGAGATGCCTGAGCCTCAGCAGCATCTTAGAGCCATTGAGAACCAGAAATAGAACGGTCTCATGCTGGATTATCCACTTAGAGAGACCTACGGTTGCGTAGCTGCACTTGCAGCTCGCAGGACTGATTGTAAATCCACTAAAAATAGATCTTTATTTAACACTAGTCTTACACATGCTCCCTGTCAAAATGCTTTTAATTTTCCCCTCTGACGTGCACTATTGTTTCATATTCCCCTCGATGTTCCTGAGAACTGGAGGCAAAAGTGCTTTTCAGTGTTGGTGCTCCTGCAGAGCTAATGCACTTCCATGCAATGAGCCTTTAAAGATTCATTTGACCACCCGGAGCCACAGGACTGGTCCACAAGTGCTATCGGAGCTGGGTGGCTAGTAAATGTATTGGGAAGTGCTGGCAGGTTCCATAGTTAGGGGCTTAGGAGCCCTTGACCACCAGTGTTATAAATAGGAGGGATGTGGGGAAAATCTTATTTGGGTTAAGGAGCAGCTAATGTGTGAGCTGTAGCTCCTGATGGGAGGTTGATGTGGGGCTGGGGAGAGACGGGGATCAGTGCTGGAGGTGGGGTTCAGTGGCTAAACTGCAGGACTGAGCTGAGCTCTTAGGCAGGAGCTCTTCCCTGTGAGGGTGCTGAGGCGCTGGCACAGGGTGCCCAGAGAAGCTGTGGCTGCCCCATCCCTGGAGTGCTCAAGGCCAGGTTGGACACAGGGGCTTGGAGCAACCTGCTCCAGTGGAAGGGGTTGGGGTTGGAGCTGGAGGAGCTTTAAGGTCCCTTCCAACCCAAACCAGCCCTGGGATTCTATGATCTTCTCTCCCCAGCTCTCCCCTTAAGCAGTCTGTACACTTAATGTAGCTGTTGATTGGGAATTGTTCCCCTGAGCATCGGTTCTTTTATCTTTATGTAAATGCTGCTTCATGCTCGGTTTGGGGCTGTATTTCACTGGCTCTGACTGTCACAAGAGAGGCTTCAGAAGCTGTGAAGAGTTCCCTTGGTTTTCCAAGGAGGCATGTTCCATTCTGTGGCTCTTGCGCTCACCTCCAGTGATGTTCCCCTTGTCAGCGTCTGCCCCCTTTGACAGGGCGACAGTTCACGAGGAAGGCAAGGAAACCACACAACCTGGGGAGGCTTTTTGATCATGGAGGGAAAAGTGTGATGGAACTGTACTGACTGGGGGTTCAGGTGGTTTATTCCCACTGCCTCGGGTTTATTGCTTGCTTTGGTCTTTCAGCTCCTTGTGCTTTCATTGTGTTTTATCTCTGGCTAGGTAGCTCTCCAATTTCCGTCCCCATCCAGGTTGCACCACTCATGTTTGTGATCTTCAAGCATCTTGAGAAGGCCTTGTTGGGTGGATGGGATGTAGGACATTCCTTTTAGCACCAGACTCAATTGAAGCGCAGAACCACAGTGGCATGGGTTGGCTTTGTCTCTGCGTTTGGAGGTCGGACATGGTACAGAGAGGCAAATGGTGCCCTACACAACACTGGTTTTCTCTCAAACATCCCTCCCATGAGGCTCCAGAAAGCAGAGCGTGGGGTTTGTGCTCTGCTTGGGGCTGCAGTGACTCAGTCCTGGATGGTGCTGATACAAATGGGGCATTTGGGTTCCTCCACCAGCTCCTCACACAAGTCAAACTGAAAGGCAGCATCGTGTTGCTCCTCTAAAGTGTGGGGACGGATTTAGTCAGGGGGGTGCATTACTTTGGTCGTTACCACAGTTATGACCTAAGTTCCCATTGCTGCTTGTCCTGGAGGCCTCAGGCCACGTCCTGTGCCCATATCACACCCTGTTTGCTCCCTCAGACCCAGAGTTTGAGCTCGGGGTCTTTTGCATTCAGGGAGCAGCGCTGTCTGCTTGAGCGCGAGGCGCAGGAGGCGCGTGGTGAGCAGCTGTAGGGTAATCTGCTCCCAGAGAAACCTCGCGGTTTACATCTACTGCAGCTTATTTTGGTTCATTGTTTCCTGTTTATGTGGGTAATCTTCTTATCCACAGACATGTCCGGTCCTCTCTTTGAATCCTCCAGTTTGTGCTCCAGAATGTCCAGAAGCAAGAAGTTCCATGGGGTTTTAAGAAAGACAGATTAAAAACTGTAATAGCCTCTTTAGTTCTTTGCATCTGAGTGACAAATCTATTCATATCATACATGAAAGGATGAGTTGGTACTGTATTGCCTTTTTAATATCTGATTTTGCTCGTTTTCTGTCAAAGGCAAGCACTCCAAATCTCTAGCTGTATTTTCCCCACATCCTTTGCTGTTCTTGTCCTTCTCTGACAAGAGTTCGGGCTCTCACCTGTGGTACCCTTCTTGAGATGGAGCAGAGATGGAATGAATGCAGTAGCCCAAGGAAGGAGCGCTGTTGGGTTATACAGTTGTAGTGCCTGCTTTACTGCAAGGTAGGAAAGTGTGTGGTAGGGAGAGCATCTCACATCATTAAAGGTCACTGACCACTGCACAGCGTGGAAGGCTGCATGTGGCAGCAGCTTGAGCTAACGTACATGGAAGTTGGTCAAAAAGCTTCCACTGGTTTCCTGCTGTGGGGTGAAGGCCAAATTCTGCTGCTTTTCCTCTCCTTTATATTTCAGTTCATCAGGGACCAGATGAAGGTGAGCCCTTTGTGGTGTTTACTGTGCTGTGACTGGGAGGTGGCCTGAAATTGTAGTGTGTCTTTTGCAGATGAGTGGAGGTTTAAGGGGGATACTGGTGGATTTGAACAGCAGCTTCTGGAGCGGGTCTGTGGATGCAGAAGCACGTTCTGTACTGACACGTGGTCTTTTTGTCTTTTCAGGTGCTGGAAAATTACTCTGATGCTCCCATGACCCCAAAGCAGATTCTACAGGTCATCGAGGCTGAAGGACTAAAGGAAATGAGGTTAGTATTGATGATCTTGTCTAGAACACAGTGTGGAGCATGGGGGAGGCTGCGTATGAAGCCTTGTGTCGCTTCGTGCAATTCTCCCTCATCTCCAGCCCACTTTTCTTCTTCCATTTCTTCCTCTTTCCAGCACAGTCATTTCAGATGACACCGCAGACACTTCCATACAGGTTGCGGGGTTGTTTTTCTTTGACAATAACTGGAAGCTGTACTTTGGGGTTTTTTTGTAACATACAGAGTCCATACATGTGCCTGTAGCAGGTCAGGCTCCTGTGTTCTGTTGTACGTGTATGGTTCTTTCGTAAGTACCTCCCAATAGTTTCTGCCACTGGGACTAGTTTGAGAACAGTTTTTGTCTCCTCTGATGCTTCATTTCTAGAGCAGGCATCATGTTTTAGGAGACTCAAATAAGTCATCTTTATATTACTATACTGGTCTCTGCTCAGAGTTTCGAGCACCATGGTAATGCAGCTCACCCTGTTGAGGCTCCTGACATTGTATGGAGGAGATGCCCATCTCAATATGGGCTTCATATGGAAAAGAACCTGATACTGAGCCTTGGAAGCGAGAGGAGTGGGAGACTTTTCCTTGATTAACTTCCTGTGAGCACCCATCTGTTTCTGTGACAGTAGTAGAAGAGATATACAGTGTCTTACAGATTGAAGAAAGTGGGTAACTGTGATAGTCCAAGTGCCGCAGTTAGTGCTGCATGGCAAAAAAAGACACTTTGGCTACCAGAGACAGAAAAAGCAGTCTCTTGGCTGCTGCCCATTGATTGACTTGTGGGAAATCCAGATGCATGAGCTGTTTCCAGTCTTGCTTTCCCCTCACCTTGATTCTGTGCACTGTTTTCCACCCCGGTGTCTGCATCCCCTGAACCTGTACTTTACCCAGGTGCAGAAGGTAGCTCATTTTTCTGGGACCTAACAGCTCAAAACGTTGGCTTGTTTCTGCTCCTTACGTGTGTCTGAAATCAGGATAGAGCTGGGATTGTTTGAATAGTGAAAACTAGTGATGCCCACGGAGGTGTCATGTAGGAGCTGGTATTGTTTGGAGAGGGGCGATGCCGATGAGTGTTGCTGCATCAGTGTGGGAGCTGTTGGAGCACTGGTGGTCCTTGCCCAGGAGATCTGCACTGGTTTGGATGTGGGTGGTGGTTTCAGAGCTCTGAGCAGAATTCAGACAGGCTTTTGATGAGGGCCTTCGTAGAGCTTTGCTTCAGTGATACTGTGCACCTTTCCTGCATCATTCCTGTTACTTCAGTGGATAGTTGAAGATCTACAAGCACAGGCTGTCCTCTGCTAAAGGTGATAGCAGGTCTCTTCTCACACACGTAAATTACCATGGTGCTCTCCCAGTTCTGACAAGTGGCCTGTCACAGTAGCTAAAGACCAGACTTTGGAGCATGTGTCAAGTTGAATCCCACAGAGCTACATCGCTCCTTTAAAGGTCAGTGGTTTTCCCTTGGGGTATCTGCTTTTCCTTCCCCAGTCATTAATTCTCTGCTTTAAGAAAAGACTGTTTTCTTCAGAGCACAATTGTTCACAGGATAAAGGCAGTGATCCTGCCTAGCTAAACATGCTCAGGCTTCCCTGGGCCTTGTATAGAAACTCTTCCTGAAACTCCATTTCCTGAAGGAAATAGCTTGGTGGCTCAAGATGTTTCTCCCTTTGAATCAATACCGAGGCAGCATTCCCTGGTTGAGGGTCACACTGGTCTATTGGGAAGGGGCTGTGTTCCTTACGGGGGACAGTGATGGTCCTGTGTGGCTGATGCTTGAGCCAGGACACTTGGGCTCAGCACCATTGCTGAGTCCTGGCTCCGAGGAGAATATGAACTCTTTGGGTTTTCCTCATTTTGGGGAAAAGTCCTTGTTTTGCCATTCGAAGGAAGCATTTTCTGGCTGGTTACAGCGTGCTTGGAGCATCTGCTCAACACAGGAGGGAAAGCACTGTCTAACAGGACAGAAGGCTGGGAATTTTGTCCTAGTACCACAGATAGAGGGTATTTCTGTCGCCAAAGCTTGTGAAGACCCATCCAAAAACCCAAGCACAGTCAGGGTGGGAACTGAGACTGTTGTAAGGGTTCAGTTTGTGACTGATTTTCTTGGAAATAGGTTGTCTCAGGCCAGTTTTCAGTTTCACTTTTAATACCAACGGAATCGATGCTGCTCTGATGGCTCTGCCAGGTGACTCTGCCTGTCTGTGTGTGATGTATTGGAAACCACGAGAGTACAGAATTTCCATCAGTGAGTGTAGGATGGTTGCTTTAACCAGGGCATTACGCAGGACATGACAAATTAGGGCATCAGACCTTTTATACCTAACTGGTAGTGCAGTTCTGTCTGCGGCTTGTCGGGGAGGATATACCAGAAACACGTCTGGGTACAACCCATGTGGGTTTGGGCTGAAATAAATCTGGAGTTTTGGTAAAGTCAGTTGAAGCCTGAAAGTTTCAAGCAGAGGAAGGCAGGAAATGGGTCATAAACGTTGGAAACATCTAAAAATGGCTCAGAGTGACTTTAAACTGGCATCGTGCTTCCTGTTTGATGCTTTGCTGTGCTGTTGGAGGCTGATGGTCACAAAGGCAAGCTTAATGCTGTTCTGGCTAGAGTGCCTGTCCCCTGAAGTTAATCAGCATCATCTCTGTTAACCTTAAAGATGCCCATTTAAACAGATCCTTCAGGCTGTTTGCTTGCTAAGGCCATTTCTTAACACTGAGCTGTTCTTTCTGTGTCCTAGCGGCACCTCTCCCCTGGCCTGCCTCAACGCCATGCTCCATTCCAACTCCCGGGGAGGTGATGGGCTCTTCTACAAGCTGCCTGGACGCATCAGCCTTTTCACCCTCAAGGTGAGTGCTCTTCACCCTGCGGAGTGCCTGCTCCTAACTGGGAGCCGAGGTGTGAGCTGTGCTTGTTACATAGAGCTGAGTGTTAAACTGTCACTGAGCATCGTACGAGCTGAATGTGCTGCATGTGAGCTCGTCATGTGAGAGTGTTATTTCATTCGAGCCTGTACCTTCCAGCTATATTTATATGATAAATCCATTCTAAAACCAACTATTTATTGAATTGCATAAGCAAGAAAAATCCTCTTGTTCCAGTGTTTTGTGCCCACCTCAGGCAGGCGCTTATCAGAACAGCCCATGTGCTCTTTTTCTCCCAGCCACAGGGGAACACACTCAACCAGTAACTTAAATTGGTCTGAGACCTTGTAGCTACAAGTAAGTCCTTGATAGGAAAATGTACATTCATTCTTCTGGTGCTTGTTTGGTGTTCAGCTGCATTCTGTGTGTATTTAACATCCCCATTTCCCTCAGATCTTGAGGTCTCTCTGGAACATTTAATTTATTGTCCCAGTAATCTTCAGTGTTGAAAATGTTTCTGGTCTTTCTTTGCATTGTTTTGTACTGTTGGATCCCCTGATAAATATCAGCTTGACAGATAACAGGTATCTCAGCTATTTCATTGGCATCTTTTTTTCTTGCTGTCAGGAAACGTTGTTGAATTGCCATATTTTGCTGAAAATAGATGGCATTGAAATGCCTTTGTCTATACAGGTAGTAAATATATCTCTTAAGCTTACTACCTCAGTATTGGCTACTCTGGTGCTCCCTGTTGTTTCGTAGTAAGAATGAGATACTTCTCTTTAATAGAAACTGCTTGCTTGTAGAAAATTGGGATGAGTTATTGACCCTGTGTATGTTGGATATGTCCGAGTTATTTGTTTAGGAGGTGTCTATGAAGAGTTCCAGTAGTTCAGGCGACTTCTGTTCCACTGTGAGCCCAAATACACTTGAAAATATCTTTCTGCATCAAGGATAAAAATAGATGAAAAAAATGAAGCTGAAGAACTGTATCTGCTAAACATCCACCCCTGTTGGTGTATGCCTTGAGGCTGGCAGGGAGTGAAGCCATCCCTGTTCTGTTTGCCCCTTCAGAAGGATGCCTTGCAGTGGTCTCGGAATCTGTCTGTGCCGGAAGGAGAGGAGCTGGAGGATACGGCAGACGCAGAAAGTTGTGAGTCCAATGAAGCAAGCACTGTGAGTGGTGACAATGATGGTAAGTGTCGAAGGATGTTCATCTTAAACCATGGCATCTACTTCTGTGTCTGACTGAGGGCCTGTCTCTTTCAGTGTCTCTTGATGAAACCTCCTCTAATGCCTCGTGTTCCACTGAGTCTCAGAGCAAGGGACCTGCTACGACCAGGGAGAGCCACCGAACTGCATCCCAGGTAAGAGAAAGTGGGACCGACTGGAAGCACAGGGAGCTTTCACTGGTGCCTGGTAGCTGGGTTAGTGTTGGACTGGTTGGGCACAAGTGCCTCAGTTATGGGGAAGAGAAATTGTCCTTAGGTGAGGAGTTTGCAGTATGGGGAGGATCAGTGGTCATTGCAGCCATACTAGCTTCTGCAACCCCTTCTGAAGAGTCCACTAGCACGTAGCTAGTTACAGGACAAGGGGGAATGGTTTTAAACTGACAGAGGAGAGATTTAGATTGTACATTAGGCAGAAGCTCTTCCCTGTAAGGGTGCTGAGGCACTGGCACAGGGTGCCCAGAGAAGTTGTGGCTGCCCCATCCCTGGCAGTGTTCAAGGCCAGGTTGGACACAGGGGCTTGGAGCAAACTACTCTACTGGAAGGTGTCCCTGCCTGTGCAGGGGGTTGGAACTGGATGAGCTTTAAGGTCCCTTCCAACCCAAACCAATCTGGGATTCTATGATACTATGGAAGGTAATTTTGAATTCTCTGCTATTCATAAATACACCTGAAGATTTACCTAGGAGCTAGGTAGATCTTTAACTAAAGAACATTCTGTTTAGAAGATTATTTTACCCCTCTATAACATCTTTGTTCCTTTGATTTCTTTCTGGGCTGCAGGCAACCAAGCAAAAGAAAAAGACTGGTGTAATGCTGCCACGTGTTGTCTTAACACCACTGAAAGTAAACGGGGCACACATGGAGTCTGCCTCTGGTGAGCATTGCTTTTGGGGGGTGGTTTTCTCATGACTGCCCAGCAAACTTTCAGTCAGTGCTCCCTGCACATCTGTAAACTGGCCTGAGGGTTTCCTTAATGCTTCATGAGAATGCATGTGACTGTAGATGTGTTTAGCTCCATCAAAGTACTTGGTAACTGTGCAATACCCTGTCGTAGGGGTAATAGCAGATAATTCTTGTATGTAAGACCATTCTCCAAGTTGGGTTTCTGCTGTTCCCTGCATGTCTTTATGAGATTGGTTTGCTTGTAGGCTTCACGGGGAGGCACGCTGACGGGGAGAGCAGCAGCACATCCAGCAGCAGCAGCAGCTCTCTGGCCCTCTGCAAAGCCACCTTGCGCAGTAGAACAGAAATAAACAGGGACCCTCCACAGCTTCTGAGGGGGATCAGGAAGCCCACTGCTGGTAAGTGCTTCTGATGCACCTCACAAGAATCATGGGCTGTAAAAGCAGGCGATGCTGAAGTTGTGTATGTCTGAGAGAAGAACATGAAGCTTCTTTTCCTTCAGAAAGCATATGATGACCTTAAGGCTCTCAGCTCTTCCTCCCCGAACATGAGTGAGATAATTGTTTAAAGTTTGTCTGGTGTGATGAGCAGCATGGAGAATTCTACTTGCATATGACACAGATGTGACCTCCTATCGAAATTCCAGATGCAGATGTATTAATTAGTGTGATTGAGTCTTTCTTCACACTTGGAATACCACAGTCTTCTCTCACATACCTTGCTCCTTTTGCTCTAGTAGTTTGACACAAATTTCTTGCCCACAATGCTGAAATCCTTTTGTCCAACAATGGTTATTTTATTCGCCTGTCTTTAAACTGCAGGGCAAATGAAACGCAACAGGGGAGAGGACATTGACTTTGAAACACCTGGCTCCATTCTTGTCAACACAAACCTGCGAGCTCTGATAAACTCCAGAACCTTCAATGCTCTCCCATCACACTTCCAGCAGCAGCTTCTCTACCTCCTTCCAGAAGTTGACAGACAGGTACAAGGGTGCAGCACGTGGGGGGTCTCCCATCCACATTCCTGTGCCCCTTGGCTGTGGAATGCCTGGAACAAGGGTGTTCTGTGTGTCCATTAGGTTGGGGCTGACGGGCTGATGCGGCTCAGCGGCAGCGCACTCAATAACGAGTTCTTCACCCACGCGGCGCAGAGCTGGAGGGAGCGCCTGGCTGATGGTGAGCGGCTCTGCCTGCCTGCAGGGTGGAGGAGAGGCACTCATCTAGTGGGGTTTATGGGTTTTCTTTCACAGTTAATGACCAGTTTAGCCCAGCCTGGCAGTGTCCGCTCGTGTTGCCCCCAACTTTTCTTCTTTATTTTTTCCATTAAAGTAAAAAATGTGATTTCCTTTGGTGCTTTGGGACCTTCAGAATGAAGTGATGGGGCTGTAAAGTAGTGCCTCAGATGGTGGTCTTTGTCTGGTAAAACATGATGTTTTTCAGACTTGCTTGAGGCTGTGTGACTCTTGCCCTTAAAGAGTTGCAGGTAGCGTATGGACCCATGGCAGGGTGGAGAGCAGGGTGGCGACAGAAAACCTGTCCTTCAGATATACAGCTACTGTCCTGTGAAAATGCAAAGGCTGCATTTGCAGAATTGGTTTGGAACTCAACTTCAGCCTCTTGCTTCCTTGCAGGTGAATTCACCCATGAAATGCAAGTTCGAATTCGGCAGGAAATGGAAAAGGAAAAGAGAGTGGAGCAATGGAAAGAGAAGTTCTTTGAGGACTACTATGGACAAAAGTAAGAACCTACCTCATCTGTCCTGTTTTATCTGTTTATTATACAGGTAGCAGAGCGTGTTTCTGCTTTGCTGAGAAAGTGCAGTATGAAGTCCTTGAAAGATGCAGGTTTTATGGGGTGAATCGTTCAGGCCGTTGCTCCAGGAAGTCCTTATTGGCATTGACTGGGGCATAGCAGAAGTTTGTATCCCATCTCTTTTGTTCCCAGTTAATTTTGCTTGTTTTCCCTCACAGGTCTTCATATTTTCTTATTATTCCCAGTAATAGTAATGTGGGATAGTGAATGCGTGGGTTATGTCGTTGCAGAGTGACATAATGAGATTTTGATGAGTCTCTGCTTTGTGATCTGTACGTGTATCAGTGGCATAGAGTACAGCTCTTAGTAAAGGATGGGATGCTTAAACGGGGACAGGCTTCAGGTTTTACCTAGGTTTTATGTTTCTCTCGTAGGCTGGGCTTGACGCAGGAGGAATCCCAGGAGCAGAGCCTGGTGCAGGAGGATGCTGAGAACAGGACAGGGCTCTCTGCTAAGGGGGAGGCGCGGCTGCCGCGCGGGCCTTCGACGCGGCAGAGGGACGGGCACTTCAGGAAGCGCTCCCGGGCTGACCTCCGGTGCCGGGCCAGGAGGAGCCTCTACAAACTGCGGGAGCCGGAGCAAGTGGAGGCTTCCAAAGAGGCTGTGGGACAGGAACCCTCAGCCCAGAAAGAGACAAAGCCTGAGGCAGACCCGCAGAAAGCCGAGCCGAGCCCTTCGCCTGCGGCGCTGAAGGCAGAGAGCTCCCCTCTGCCCCTCTCTCCAGAGCCTTCCAAGGTGCACAGTAAATCGGAAGATCCATCGTTGGCAGCTGCAAACAGGATTCCCAGCTTGCCCCAGGAGAACTCTGCTCGGGAGCCCAAGGACCAGAAGAGGAAATGCTTTGAGGAGGCTGCCTCCGCGTCCTTCCCCGAAAAGAAGCCCCGGCTTGAAGATCGTCAGTCCTTTCGTAACACAATTGAAAGTGTTCACCCAGAAAAGCCACAGCCTACTAAAGAGGAGCCAAAGGTCCCACCCATCCGGGTAGGAAGGAGGGTTATAGCTGCTTGCTATCCCAGGGCTGTCATGCTCAGTACCATCAAAACGTTATTAAAATGTCAAGTGTTGTCATCCTGGGAGGAGAAGTGGAAGGGTTTCATTGGTAGAGCTGCCTAAGTACCCCTGATTGCCACAGTCTGCTATCTTATTTAGACAGGCAAAGAATGGGAAATCGTTCCAAGGTCTTTGCACAAGAGCACAGCATAACCTTGACTTGCTCTGTTAGCTTGCGTTTCTGTGGATGCAGAAATTGCTTTTCCTGAAGCTAGCTGACTTGCTGCAAGAGAGACCTTCAGATGTGTTCTTTACCCTGCATAGTTCCTCCTCTTTGGGCAAAATCTTCATGTTCCCTCTGAGTTCCCCTGTTCTGACTGGAGGTGTCCATCTCCTTAGCCTCAGGGTCATCCTGGTGTAGAAAGGACCGTTCTGATTCCTGAAGCATCACTTGCTTGTCTCTGGGCTCTAGTCAAACTATGTAGTACTGAGCTTTACATAGCACAGGGCAGAGCATGCATGCAGAGATTGTGGGGACTGTGGCGCTTCTCTCCCAACATCAGTTTTTAAGCTGGAATTCTAAACTTTGATTGAATTCTTGCAGTAAGACTGATGGCGAGCAGGTGCTGATGGAAGGGATGTGTGAGGGTTGGAGCTGACGGCTTTTCCCTTTCTTGCAGATTCAACTTTCACGTATTAAACCACCCTGGGTGGTTAAAGGTCAGCCCACTTACCAGATATGCCCCCGGATCATCCCCAGCACGGAGCCCCCCAGCCGCGGCAGGGCCGGGGCCCGGACGCTCGCTGACATTAAAGCCCGGGCCCTGCACGCCCGAGCCCAGCGCGAAGCCGCTGCCGCCATCGGGGGTGGAGGGGGCCCCGGTGGGGGGAGAGGCCCCGATGAAGGAGGAGGAGGAGGAGGAGGAGAAGCCGGCGGCCGCGCCGGGCACAGGAGGTCAAAGAGAACTCATGGAAAGCGTTCGGCAGATCTACAGCGAGCACAACTACTGCCGCCTGCCCGCGTGAGCCGGGGCAAGGCTGAGCCTGGTGGGGCTGCTCGGGAGGCTGCTGCCCGTGCCCTCCTCGCGTCGAGACAAGACTCCTTCTCCTCGAAGAGCGAGGGCAGTGGTGCCGGTGCTCGCTCAGGGGACGGCTCACCCCAGGGGCAGTTCTATGGTGCTTTGCCTGGGTCATCCTTGAAGGAGGAGAGCCCTGAGCAGCCCCTCTGTGACCCACGGACCGAAACCCCATCCTGTGTTGCGTCACAGGAGGGGCAAAGAGCAACGCTGAAAAGCGTGGCTCCTGCAGTGAACGGTGTGTCGTGCTCTCGGGTGCAGGGAGCTGTGATCAGCCCTACAGGCGACGGGGCTGGGTCAGGACTCGGGGGTGCTGCTGCCCCTGCCTTGCAGCTGGGTTATCATGCTGACGTAAAGGAAAATTCCCCCGGTTGTCCTGCTCGCCTGCCAGCACCGTCCTCGGGCGGCAGCGAGCGCCACGAGCCAGGCATGGTCTCCAGGTTCAGATTGAATGGCTCTGAAACGTTTGTGGGAAAGTGTGTCAGTGATAGAGCTAGCTCCAAAGCAGGGACTGCTGGAGCGGAGGGGGCCAGCCCTGCGCCGGGGGACTTGGCACATCTGCAGGCAGAGGAAGGCAGCGATGGCAAACTGAGCAGTGGAGAGCAGAATGCAGAGCCCATGGGGAGAGCCTCTGTACACGGAGACTTTGTTTCTCAGAACAGGATAGACTCCTCTGAAACACCTGAGCAGCCGAGGGAGAGGAGCCCCCCAGCAGGACCAGAAAACGCACTTCAGCCATTGAGGGAGACCCAGGAGCTCAAGAGAAGTGGAGATGAGGAAGTGCAGAGTACACACAGTGAAACGACAGACACTGCTTCAGACTTTGAAGGTGACGTAGCTGGTGAGAGCGAGGAGATGGATGGATGCTTCAGAAGCACCCGCTGCAGGGAGGTAGCTGGGGAAGACTCCTCCTGCCATGGCAGCACTGGGATATGTAATGGGGTCAGATCAAAATCAGGGGCAGACAACCCGGGCTGGGTCGGGGACCTCCCTGCAGTGACAGTGATGGGCACTGGATCTCCATCCCCGAGACAGGGACCACACACCCCACTGCCTCAGAAAGCAGCTTCTGCTCGGCCCATGTCCACTGCTGAAACCAGCAACCCTTTGGTGACGCAGCTGCTAAAGGGGAGCCTTCCTTTGGAGGAGGTTCTCCCAGGATCTCACACCAGTGTCAAGCTGGAAGCTGCGCAGCCACCCCTGGACAAGCCATCAGAGACCCTCTCCCTGGAGGTGGAGAGAGGAGGCAGTTGCTGTTTTGGAGCAGAATCTCCACATACAGGAATAAAGACGAGTGCCCTGAGCAGGAGCGATGACTTCCACTCAATGAGATCTTCCACAGATCCCCAGGAGAGCAAGTGTGGATCAGGGGCACCATTGCCTGCAATAGAGGATGTGGAAGTTCGGTCTGTTCCAGAGAAACATTCCAAAGCTGGCTCAGCTTTAAGCTGCCAGGAGCAGCTGGCAACTGTGGGAAGTGCCTCTCCGAAGCCTGAAGATCCGGGCCCTCAGGAAAGAACCTTTTCTTCCTGTAGCTTTGAGGAGCAAAAGGAGTTGCCCAAGGTCCACCGGGTGGCCCAGCACAACCCCTTAGCGAGCATCACCACAAATACAAGCGCGGAGGGGTTGAACACCTCCACCGAAGCTCGGTTTTTGTCTCCAGCTGTAACTTCTCTTGGTCCAAATCAGACAGGAGGTGCCTCGGCCAGCACAAACTATGCTGGAGTTCAAGGCAAAAAGCTCTTTGGTCCTGGTTTCCCTTGCAACGCCAGTGTTAGACTGCACCACCCCAGGGCTTTGGACCAAGCTCCAGCCATAGGAACCTTGTCCCCCAGCAAACAGACTCCGGACAAGAGCTGTGCCCCAGGGGAGGGAATGCCGGCTGCAAGGGAGGAGTGGGCTCCAAAGCAGCACCCCAGCACCCTGGGGGGAAGGAGGAATGAGAACGTGGTGGGAGGCAGCCCAGGCAAGGGGAACGCAGAGAACCAGAAGGGGCTGAGTGAGCCCTTGCCGAGCGTCCCGCTGGGAGCGGACTTGCCGTTCTTGAGGTGTTCAAGGGAAGCAGCAAAAGGCCACGGTCACCCTTTGGAGCCTTCTTCCATCCCCTCGCAGCTCAATATCAAACAAGCATTTTATGGGAAGCTTTCGAAGCTGCAGCTCAATTCCACCAGCTTTAATTATTCATCCAGCGCTCCCGCTTTTCCCAGGAGCCTGGCTGGAAGCGTGATGCAGCTGAGCCACAAAGCGAACTTTGCTGCGAGCCGGAGCTCGGCCCTGTCTGTGCAGATGTTTGCTGACAGCAGCAGCGTTGACGAGATCTCCTTCAAGTGCTCCTGCAGCCTGAAAGCCATGATCATGTGCAAGGGCTGCGGCGCCTTCTGTCACGACGACTGTATAGGACCCTCCAAGCTGTGTGTATTGTGCCTTGTGGTGAGATAATGAATTATGGCCATGGGACAGGTTGTATATTCAGTGTGTGTATTTTGATAACGGCTGATGCTAAAGCCTGTACACAAAGTACTATTCTGTTTATAGTAGAAATGCTACTACACTTTGTTGCAGTGAGGAACGTTGACTTGCCTTCCCACGAAGATCTCCAGTGCAGAACCCTTTGGCTCATGGTTACACTCCGGTCGCGGTGGGCTGCGTCCCATCGGATCCATCCTCCTGCTTCCTGCTGTCATGGAGATGCCGACGGTGTCCTGGTGCCCATGCTGAGGCGAACACCCAAGGGAGAGGCAGTTTGTGGCAACCCGTGAGCCCTCCATTGAGGAACTCGTTGCATCCAAAGGAACTGGAACAGGATGTTTCTGTTTCAGGGCTGTGCTAGGTGAGGCCCTGCAGTCTTCTGCTGTCCCCTTCTGCTGTCTCCATTCTCAGTGTGCTGGGAGGCACTGCTGGGCCCTTGGTGCAAGCGGAGCTGCTCTGCAGGGACAGTCCTCAGTGGTCTTTAGGTGCTACAGCAGAGCGTGGTGCCCACCAAAGGATGCTGCAGGCGGCTGCACAGTAACCAAGCACTGCACGGAGCCCATGGAGGGTGCAAGAAGAGGGGGGAAAAGAAAGAAGTAAAAGCATCAGGTGCCAACCAAACACCTCTGCTCTGCGGGGCTGAACTCCTGTCCTGGTGCTGTGCCCGTGCCCTGAACTGGTGTGAAGCCGTGGAGGTTCCCAGCAGCTGGGTCCTGCGTTGAGGCCCTGAACGTGTGAGCCCTTGCAGGCGCCCCCGTGATCCGTGTGAGCTCCATCAGCATGGAAAGCAGTGGGGTTTCCTTGGTTTTGGTTTTTTTTATATATTTTCATTCTTGGATGTATAAAGTGAATTCTTTGGCTCCTGTAAGTACCCTCTATGCATCTGTTTGATCATGTATTTATATGTTGTACACAGTACTGGGCAACTCTGTAAATGGTTGTAATGTACATAGAACATAAAGGGTTCTTTTTGTTTTCCTTGGATTTCCAGGCTCTCGGCAGTATTGCATTAAAGTGGTGTTAGTTATTAACCTGCCCCTGGAGTCGGAGCCGCTGTGTTCTGTCCCCTGGTGGGGGGCTCAGCACGTGAAGGTGGCCCTGGGCTCTCTCTGGGCCATGCAGGCAGACCAGGGGTGCCCGGTACCGGTGCCTCCTCCAGCACAGTGCTGGTTGTTGCTGGGACTGAGCTGGAGCTTGGCTGTACCTGCGCAAAGGGGAGCACCTCGTGTCCCCACTGAGAGCAAACCGGGACTCTTCCTCCTTGGAGCACTTACCTATTAAGAGAGAATTGCCTCTTGTTCCGTTCAAGCGGTGTTGTAGAACTGTAGGGGGTTTCTTTTTCCTTCTGGTCCCTTTTCTAGCTCTGTGCTACCTCCCTTGACCATGCACTTGGGTTTCAACAGTGCAAGTCCCTGTTTGAGATGCGAGCCAGAGGGGTGCAACGAGTTCAGTCTCCAGAATGGTTCTATCAGCCTCATGTTGTGGGATGGGGAGAGACCCAGGCTGGGGGATGGCCGGGAGCATGGAGGTGCTGAGGGCTTACCAAAGATGGGAGCAGAGCCGGGGCTGGCTCGGCCGTGTCCCGCTGGCAGTGTCTGGTTCGCAGAGCCCTTGGGTCTGCTCATGTCTGTCCCCTGTGGTATGGAAATAAAGACTCTGTAAAAGCTGCTCTTGTGGTTTCAATCCTCTTCTTCTGCAGCCGGGCCCTGCTCCCCGAGGCAGTCACTGCTTCCCCTCTCCTCTTCCTTAGCAGGGAGGCTGCTCAGGCGGGGGGGAGCTGCCTCAGCTTCGTTGCATGGATGTAACACACTTGAGGGGACCGAGGGCGCTGCGGACACCAAGAGCTCCTCCGAAGGCTCCAGAAGCTGCAGCAGGGCCGTGGGATGCTGCAGGAGCGAAGGCTGTGCCTGCGGGAGCCCTTGCAGTGATGGGGTGATGGTGATGCTGATGGGATGATGCTGATGGGTGGTACTGGCCTGGCTGGGGAGGTGCCTGTGGGCAGCAGCACCGAGACCAGCCCAGTGTCACTGGGCAGCTTGTGCTGCTGCTGTCACAGCTTTTGTGCTGCCGTCGCGCTCGGTTGATGGATAAATAGGTCTGAAAAGGGTTTTGAAGGGGGATAACAACGTGGCACTGATTACACTGTTGAAGCTACCTGTAAATGCACTGTACTGATATGTCCCTTCTCTCTTTCTCTTCTCCAGGTAGTAAGAGCAATGTGAATTACTGCGTTACACATCTGGGTTCTGGTCTCATCGGGTGGATCTTACACGAGCAGAGGTGACCTGATGGATTAGACAGCAGGGCTGGGTGAGTGCTTGGATCCATCTGGTAACCTCTGACTTCCCTGTGCTCCGCGGTGCTGCAACGTGGCAGGCCAGCAGCGATGCTCCCTCCCGGTCACTGGTGCTGGTGGTGGTGCAGGAGTGCAGCAGCTTCATTTCCAGTTCATGGTAAGGGGGCAAAGCCAAGAGCTGCCGTGTCTGAGTGCAAAGGAAGCTCTGGCCCAAGCGTGGCTTCATGGTTTTAGGGCATCCCTCCCATGGGGAGTCAGGTTTTGTGTGTGTGAATGTCAGCCCCGGCTGCAGGCCCTGGCTCTGGCAGGGTGTCTGCAAGCAGGGCTTGGAGGTGCCCGGATCATTAAAACACACTGAAAATGAGGAATGCAGAACGTGGAGTTGTTATTTGGGGAGGATTTAAGACTAAACCAGCACATCCCTGTGTTCCTGGTGTGCTGGAGGGCAAGGCTGAGGTCAGCTCCCTCTAGAGTGGGGAGCTTGGAGCTCTCAAGAGTGAACCCTGTTCATGCCCGCATTTCCCACAGAATCACACTGATTTCCTCCCTGATGTCTCTGCCAAGAGCAGCTCTGCTCCCTCAGAGGTTCTCCTCTTTGGATGCAGCCCCGTGGCAGAGCTGCCTGTGGATGGAGGCACTGTCCATGCCCGTGCCATGGAGACGAGGCAGCAACACCAGGTAATTCCAAAGGAAGTGGTTCTGCATGCTGCTGTGACCGCACACCGCCAATCCCCACGCTTCCAGCTGCTGTCTGAAACTCGGGATCGGACCTCATCCCGAGGCTTGGCTGCTGCTGAACCGGGCTGCGTCACAGGCACACAGGAGATGCTGCACCCGCGTGTGCTGCAGAGCCCTCGCCTTGGCTCTGTGGGCACCCGTAAGTGACTGAAGAGAACAAAAGAGGAGCTTTGGACAAGGGATGTAGGGGCAGAACAAGGGGAATGGCTTGAACCTGCCCGAGGGGAGCCTGAGCTGAGCTCTGAGGCAGAAGCTCTTCCCTGTGAGGGTGCTGAGGCGCTGGCACAGGGTGCCCAGAGAAGCTGTGGCTGCCCCATCCCTGGCAGTGCTCAAGGCCAGGTTGGACACAGGGGCTTGGAGCAAGCTGCTCCAGTGGAAGGGGTCCCTGCCTGTGGCAGGGGTTGGAGCTGGAGGAGCTTTAAGTGTGGGATTCTGTGGTACTGCTCCAACCCAGGGGGTTTTACCTCCACAGTGCTTTGAGATGAACGTGTTAGGGATGCACAGGTTTATTCCACGCAGTGAACAAAGCTGATGGGGAAAACTCAGGTTTTGCCATGAGAGAGAGAAACTTCCCACAGACTTCAGTGAAAACTCCTCTGCTTTTCCTCACCAGAACCGGGCGCTTCACAAATGAACTTTGTCAACAGAGGAGTTACACCGCAAACCCGTGCCCGGCCCCACGGCTCACTGCTGGCGCTGCTCTCTGGTACCTGCCCCAAGAGCACCCACCCATGGAGCTGGTTTTTACCTTTAACACCTACATTCAGGCCCTGCTTTGGTGGCCGCTGCCACCGACCCCTCGCACCGCAGGGCTGGGGAGCACCCACGGGCTCGACAGTGGAGGAGAAACCCTTCTTGTTATACAGTGTTTATTAAGTAGATTCAGTCTTATATATGATATACAGATTCGAAAGAAAAAAACCAAAAAAGAAAGAAAAAAAAACCCCAAAAAGGATTCCACATACTTATGAAATCAGTGCATTTAGCAAGTAATACCATGGAGATAACAGCTTGATTAACAGCTCATTGGTCTTTGTTAAGTGAGGGGAACAGGGAGTTGGCCTGTGCTAATCATTCCACGAACAGAACAGAATTCAGTTGCATCACATATATAATAGACACACATCCTAAGAATTAAAATATTAAGCCACATTTACTGGAAAAATCCACAGTATAGAACACAAATAACTCTTATCAAGCTCGTTGAGGAGGAAGTGCTCATCTGCTTAAGAGCCACATGAAGTTGCATAGGTGCCTATCTGCAAAAATATCATTTCAAAAGGAATCCATTGATTAAGCAATAAAGTGTCACCTTCAAAGCCGGGTTAAGTGCCATATGCTTCTACCCGAGCCGCTTCCTGCGGGATGCGCTCCCCCCCTCGCAACCCGAGCTCAGCTTGGACCGATCCCATGGTTCGGGAAAGGCTGTTCCCAACCCTGGGGAGGGGGGGGTATCCCCCCTGCTTCCCTGCCAGTCCTCCCCTGCGTGGTGTGACCCCTGCTCTGAGCTCTCGGATGGGGATGGGGAGCAGCGGGATCCGCATCAGCTCCGCCTGGACCGATCCTCAACTGGCGCTGGGGGACAAGAGAACCCCGTGTGCAAACCCCACCGCTGCTGCCGGGGGGGGGGGGTCAGGTTTGGGGGCGGGTGCGTGTTGGGGTGAGTGAGGCTGTGGCTGGGTTAAGCAGACGAACTGGGTGAGGTGCATCTTCCTCTTCACGAGCAGGTCTGGCGGAACACACGGGGGCCGGGAGTTCTGTACATGTAAACAGGACACTTCACTGAGTCCAAAAGAGGAGCAAAAATACAAAGGTTCACATTGGTCTTAGGTAGATACAGGCGAAGAGCGGAGCCGTGCGGCTCCGACACAACCAAACAGAAGGTCCTAAAGCACCACTAAATGATATAAAAACCAGAGGCGGGGCGTCGGGGCCGGGGGGGGCTACGCTACCTTGTAAAAAGTCTTACAAAACCTTACAAAGGAAAAGTCTCTCAACCCTCTGAGTTCAAAGCAGCAGCAGCAGCGGTTTGTCACGCACTGGTACGGGGAGGTGCGAGCCACGGCTGCTCGCGGCCCCATGGAGCAAGCCGGGGTTCAGCTCGAATGCAGGGGTGTGAAATTAGGCTCTGTTTTCTCAAGCAGTGATGAGCTCCTAAGGAAAAGCCCGGCCCATCCGGGCCATTTGCTAACCCCGCATTCTCCTTCCACCTCTCAGATCTGCAGAGCTCGTTCCTTCGCATTGGGAAACCCGGACAAGAGGTTCCTGCCCCCGTCCTGCCTGGTGGGAGCGCAGGAACGTGGCTCTGGAACAGTCCCGGAGCGCAGAGGAGCCGCAACCGAGCCGGAGAGCACCGAGGTGCCTGTGGAGCTCGTGGCAAGAGGCTCGGAAGCCGCGGCTCACCCCAAGGAAACGAAAGAAGGAAGAAGAAAGGAAAAGATCCCTGACAGGAATTCACAGTCAATCCCATTGGAGTCGGAACTCGTCACAGCCGAGGCTGTCGCTGGGGCGTGGGGAGCCTGAGCCTGTACCATTCAGCTGCAAGTTCTGAACATCATGAGGCAGGACGGGACCGCCGGGTACCTTCCTCTGCAACCACGAGCCTCGCCGCCTGCTACAGCGGTCGAACAAAGCGGGAGAGCTACTTCACTACGTGCTAAGACAAGTTCTAAGTGATGGGGGAACGCCAGCTCAAAACGCATCTAAACCAAACTTGAACCAGGCTGCAGCCGATGGAGGCCCCTCCGCGGTGCCCACCTGCACAAACGGGATGGCAAAGCTATGGCTAAAGGGTCCCGACGGCCTCTGCCGGGGGAGGCACCTGCGGGGCTGGGATGGGGCAGAGGGAGAATTCGGGGACAGCGATTGTCTCTGCCTCTGCTCCCCTAACGCTCAGCCTGTCCCAGGCTCACGGCTGGCTCAGAGCTTTGGGCCTCGTGGTGCTCACACACGGGTCAGTATTTACATGGATGCCGGGGGGAGGATGCGGCGGCCGCACCGGGCAGGGAGGTGCTGGGGAGGAATGAGCCTGAGCCCGGGCTCAGGTCTCAGCAGGCCCCCCCCATCCGTGCATGGACAGAGGGGGCCGGTCCCTTTTCTCCAGGTGCTAGGGGGAAGGTTCAGGTTTGGGGGGAGCAGTCAATGGGCAACGGGAGGTCCCTCCTGCTGCCCTGCAAGCGCGGCCTCAGCCCCGTGCTGGCCCCTGCTGTGCTGGGGCTGAAGCAGGGCAGAGGCTTTGCTCCTCTTCCAGTGTGTGGGGACTACGGTCGGGTATAAAGGCTACAGAGAACGGGCTGGGTCCTGCCTGCACCAGCGGCATCACCCCCGGAGCCGGAGAGAGGAGCCCGAAAGGACCAAAGCTGGCTCCAAAGAGGGAAAACCTCGACCTTTGGAGCGGGGTTTGCACTTATCGAGTGTCTGCCCCGGGGTGAGGGCTCCTGCCCGGGCAGGGGCGGGCGCTGCTCTCTCCATGGCTCCACAGCACGTTGCATTGCTTGAGCTCGGCTCAGCACCCCCGGCCTGAGCGAAGTCCCTGGGTTTAGCAGCACTGGTAGTAGGTATTGCACTGAGCAAAACGAAGTGCATTATTGGGGGGTGGGAGGGGTGCTAACGGGGCAGGATGCTCATCGGATCATCGGTTTTCCACGCTTTGGGCAGGGTGGGCTTGCTCCAGGGCTGTGAGCAGGGAACGGGGGAGGATCCTGGGCCCCAGAGAGGGCTTTGTCAGTGCTGCTGCCGAGCGTTGCCTGCCTCCATCTTCCACCCGCGCCTGCTCCCCAGGCAGAGACCCGGCCTCAGCTTTATTACCCCCGTGCGGCTCCTAAGGGGCCGTGCTCCCGGTGCCGCCCCAGGGCTGGGCTCCGGTGGGGCCGGGGCTGTGGAGCTGCCGCCCAGCAGCAAGCAGGGCCCCGGCCGCTTCCAGCCTCCTCGGCGCGATCCCCGCGGCTGCGACACTCACCAGGACCAGCGCCGCCGGCCCTGCAAGGAGCCCACAGCGGAGGCTGAGGTAGAGAACGGAGGTGCCCGCGGGGCCGCGCTTCTCAGGTCCTTTCCTTCCTTCCTTCCTCCTCCCATTGCCGGGGCTTGGGTGAGTGCCGGGCGCGCTTCCAGCCGGGACAGCGAGAGCCCGGCGCTGCTGCGGGGCCGCCGAGGGCTAAGGACGCTGCACCGGGGATCCGCTGCCAGCCCCATGCACTGGAGCCCAGCAGCCGCAGCATCCGGGGCTGGATGGCAGCCGTGCTCCCTGCGAGACGAGGGGAACGGGCCGAGCTGCCTGGGAGTCGGGAGTGTGGTGATATGGAATGTGTTATTTCACAGGAATCGATTCCTCCTGATCAGACAGACAAAAACCTGGCAATCCGTACAAACTCAAAAGAATCCATTTTCAGAAAAATAAATTACTAAGGGGAGAGGAGGGTCCATTTCTCAATAAATACGTGATTCAGCTCACCTAAGACTCGGAAATTATCTGGGGACGGGAATCTAACATTTGGGTCCACAAAGGTTATTCTAAATACATCTGCAGCCCCAAACCTCCCCATAGGCTCCCTTCTGCCCTGGAAGTCCCACGTCCTCCCGAGCCGCGGGTTTGGCTGTTGGTACGGTTCCAAACGTGTCCTTGTGCCTCAAGTCCCAGGTGCTCGGAGTGTAAAACAAAAGAGGTCTTTTGGATTCCACCTTCTAAAACTACGTGTACCCGGAGGGGACGGGAGAGGGCCATGGTCCTGAGCAGGGCGCGCCGGGAGCCTCTTGCCAGCAGGTAGGAATTGTGTTGAGGGGCGCGGGGAGTCAGTTCTGCTGTAAAATGAGGTTTTCCAGTTCGTCTGCCGAGCGGAGCAGGAAGGCCGCGGACTCCCGGTAGCCGGCGATGAGCTGCCGCACGGCGCTGATCTCCGTGGGGCTGAGCTGCGCAGCCGGCATCCCCCTGCTGGTGCTGTTGGACGGGGCCGTGCTCGAGGCCCCTCCTTTCATGCTGAGATCCGTGGGACCTGCAGAGGGAACGCAAGAGGCAAGCTCAGGCCAGAGCCGCTCTGCACGGGTCCCTCCTGCCACGGGGAGACCCCCATGGGGAGCCCCTGCTCCCGCACCGCTGCCTGCAAAGCCCTGGCCTGAGCCCGAGCTGGGAGCCGGGGCGCTGCGGGCTCATGGAGCCCTTGGTGATGCTGCAGAAAGGCTCCTGCTGCGTGGCCTGGGGGACACGAGGGATGCTGAGCAGGGACTGGGCTGCAGTGATTTGCAGACCACCAGGATGGGGGGAGTGCAGCAGCATCCCCCCGAGACTGGGGGATCCCAGTGGGGACAGTGGCAGGGAGGGGAGCCCATTGCTGAGGGCAGGGGGGAAAGCATCCAGGAGCACTGTGCTGGAGCAGAAATGCTGTGGGAGGAGCAGCCCCAGCAGAGCACTTGCACACCAGGGTAATCAGCTGCCAGGGGAGGAGGAGGAGGAGGAGGAGGAGGTGGCTCTCAAGTGAAAGCAATTTCACTGGACAGAAAAGGCAGCAGTGAAGGGAGCCATTTCCCGGCTCACCGAGGGGGAAGGAGCTCCGGTGGGGCCGGGGTTTGAGCAGGAATCGCCTCAGGTGGGGGATGGAGGGAGAAGATGCTTGTGGGCAGCAAACCCTGCAGCCCTCCTGCTCAGTGCGGCAGACGGGCAGCGCTCCGGCTATGGCAGCACCATCCTGCCCTGGAGGGCTGGGCCCGAGCTGGGGCAAAGGGGAAGCTAAAGCAGAGGTTCAGCAGCGTTCGGATGGAGCCATGTGCTGCTGCACCCAGCAGGGCCTGGCTGCTCTGGGGTGGTCGGTGCCTCACCCCCCGGAGCCTGCACTGGTGCTGCTGGTGCTGCCCTGGGCAGGACCCATGGCCCCGGCTCCAAGGATTAGGTCTCAGCAGCTGGAGGCCGGGGCGGGCTCTTTATTGAGGGTTAAGAAGCATTAGGAAGGGATGATAAGAGTTAATCCCAGACAGGCATCTCGCAGGGCTCCGGAAATCACATCCTTCCAAATCCTCCCTCCTGGTGGGGTGGGCAGGGGCAGGGCAGGAGCACAGCGTGCACCAGGGCAAGCAAAGACATTGCCAAAGGACTGGCCAAGGGCCACCATGGCCTCTGTCCACCTGCTCCTAACCCAGCCAACCCCCTGCACCCTCCTGCCCTGCAGCATCAGTCCTGTTTTCCCAGCCAGCCCCCGAGCATCCTCCCCACTGCAGCAGGAGCCCCAACTGCACCAGCCCCATCCCGCTCTCCCAGAGCCACCAAGGCAGGCTGGGGACGACGGGCTTGTACCAGCCCCGAGATGAGGGCAGCGATAGGCGCCCGCTCCTGTTAATCATTAACACTGGTGCAGATTCCCCTGGGACGCTCCCTCCCTCCCTCCCAGTGCCACCTCCTCCATCCCTCTGGGTTCAGCTCCGCACTGAGGAGGGAAGCTCAGCAGCCGGGCAATGCGGGGCAGCTGCAGGGGAAGGGGTTTGGGAGCAGCCCTTGCTCCAGTGCCAAGCCCGGCTGCCCTGCATGGATCTGGAGCCTGGGATGGAGGCGACGGCTGGGGGGCTCCCGGTGCAGTGTGTGGTCACTCACCGTTACTGTGGTTGCCCGTCTGGAGGGAGGCAGGCGGCTGCAGGCTGCCCCCCAGGGACCCGTAGCCACGGTAGCTGTAGTTGAGGCTTCCATTGATGTAGACTGGGTCTTGGGAGTAAGAGGAAGCTGGCAGTGAGTAGGAGGAGTGGGTGATGGCTGTGGAGTCTCTGGAGTGCTGTTTATCAAGAGCAATGGGCTCGTCCTGCGTGGGGGGAACACAGACTGAGTCCAGTGAGGAGCAGGGGTGCCTGGTCCAGCTCCCCATCCCTGCTGGCCTCAGTCTCAGGTCAACCACAGGGCCCTGCTCTGCAGCCCTCTCATTTCAGGAGGGCTTTTAACAAAGCCTTGTCATCCCTCAGAACTGTCCCTCCTTTCCCCCCACCCCAGGGTGCTGCTGGCTCCATCCCTCGCCCACCTCCAGCCGCCAGCACCGTACCTGGGAGCTCTGGTAGATCTCCAGCCGCATCCTCTTGGCTGCTTTCCGCGTCTCGCTCTCGCAGGCAGCGGCCAGGATGTTCTCGGCCATGGCTGAGGTCAGGTGTGGCGGCGTGGGCCTGGTCTGCAGGGACACAAGCAGAGAAGACCCTCAGGTACCTGCTGCAGGAGCGGTGGCGCACGGGGGGCAATGGGGTGGGTGCTCACCATCTCCATCCCGTTCTTCTTCATGCGGCGGCAGGATTTGAGGTAGGTGCGGATGCGCTTGCGTGCCCGCTCCTGGAACTCGGGGAACTGCCGGCTGCAGGACTCGATGATGGCCTGGATCTTCTCCTTGGGCTGCTTGGAGATGGGAACCATCCGGTCCAGGTTCTCATCCACGAACAGGCGCACGAACATCTGCAAAGGAGAAGGGGGATGGTGGAACACCAAGATGGAGGCAGCAGGGCTCACCCTCCCCATGGAGCCCTCCTTACGTTGAAGGCCTTTAGCCTCTCTGGGTCCATCCCCTCCGAGTCATTGATCTTATCGTTGTCTTCATGGTCATCGTGGTCATCATCATCTTCGTCGGCCGTGGGGGCCCTGCCGACGGTCAGGTCCTCGGGGCAGCCGCTCACCTCTGTCTTGATGGAGTCGTAGCTGCCAGAGCTGTATGGAGGGGACTGAGAGGACACAGGAATTACCATGAGCATCCCTTGCCTGCTCGCCTCTGCCTTGGTTCACTGCTTCTGCCCCCTTTCCTGATGTTCCTGCACCCTGGGGAGGTGAACCCATGACTGGGCTTCCCCAAGTGCCAGCTCCTGCCTGCTTGGGGCAGGAGGGGACATGGTGACCTCATGTGGCCTGTGATGGCCCAAAGTGCAGGCTCTGCCTGACCCTGTGGAAAACACTGCCTGGACCAAACAGGATCCTCCTTGATGGGCTGGGGTGCAACGAGCCCACTGCAGAGCCCAGCTCTGGGGCAGGGGGATGTGAGGGGTGCCCCCAGCTCTCCCAAACCCTCCCTCCTCCTCTCTGCTTGCTCAGTGCCTGGGCTCAGTTCTGCCGAGCAGCAGCAGCGCAGGGCTGGGGTTTGGCCAGGCACAGTTCATGCATCCTTGTGTCCCCACAAGGGACCGGCTCCCAGCCCGGTTCACCCCTCGGTGCTATCCCGGTGCTGCCACGTCCCTGCCTGGCTGCTCCCACTGCGCCATGCCCCGTGTCCACCCCTAACCAGGGACACCCAGGACATCGCATCCCCCACCGGGCCGTACCTCTGCCGTGCTCTTCACGCCATACTTGCCCCTGCTGCGGAGCCCATCGGCGCTGCAGCCGTCCGCCTGGTAGTTGGGGGTGCCGTGCGCCGGGGCCAGCTTGTCGCACAGGTTGATGGGCTGCTCGTCGGCCGCCGCCGTGAAGTCCATGGGCGCCGCGGGGCCATTGCCGTTCATGTCGGGGAAGGCGCTGTCGCCCTGGGTGCTGCTCGAGGTCGAGGGGTTCAGGGTGGAGGAGCCATTCCCGCTGCAGCTCTCTGACGAGGAGTCATCTGCGAGGAAGGACGTGCGCTCACCCCCACGGTGCCAACCTCCCCAGAGCCCACCAGCGCGTGCAGCATGGATGCAGCCCTGCCCCGGACTCACTCTGGATCACCACGTGTGCTGCCAGCAACCGGGCCGTGCTTTGGGCACCGGGATGCAGGCACTGGGAGCACGGACACCATCGTCACAGGGCCCCGCTCCCTGGTCCCTCAGAGCACACCGGACCCTGCCATACCCTGACCAGGGCCACCCGTCCCTCCCGCAGGGGACAGTCCCTGCGCCTCCACCCGGGGCTGCGGCGCCCGGGCTTGAATAAGAACTTTGGAATTTGGTCCTTTTCGGTTTCTGTTTGCATTGCAGGGAGGAGAAAGGGGCATTGCCGCTCCCCGCCGGCTCCTTCGCCTCCCCGCGCGTCCTCCTGGGCCCGGCTGGGGCTCTGGGAGCTGCGGAGCAAGGCCCCTGAGCACGATGCTGCAGGAGGGGCAGGGGATGCACGATGTCCCTCCCAAAGCCCAGGTAACCTCCTGCACCCTACATGGACGCTCCTGCTGCCATGTTCCACCCAAACCGGGGGACCCATGCCCCAGGGACGTGGTGATGGCAAAGCCCAGTGCAGCTCCTGCTGGCATCCACACCCCCAGCTCCTGGCACCATCCCTCTGCCCACGAACAGCTCCCACCGTGCCAGCCTCCTGCTCCAAAGAGCAGCCCAGCCACAGCAGAGCGCCCACTCCTGCCTGCACTGGGTCCTGCCTGCCCCGGGTCCTGCCTGCACCCAGCCCTGCCTGCGCCCGGTCCTGCCTGCACCCAGCCCTGCCTGCACTGGGTCCTGCCTGCACCGGGTCCTGCCTGCACCAGGTCCTGCCTGCACCCAGCCCTGCCTGCACCGGGCCCTGCCTGCACCCAGCCCTGCCTGCACTGGGTCCTGCCTGCCCCGGGTCCTGCCTGCACCCAGCCCTGCCTGCACTGGGTCCTGCCTGCACCGGGTCCTGCCTGCACCCAGCCCTGCCTGCACCCGGTCCTGCCTGCACCCGGTCCTGCCTGCACCCAGCCCTGCCTGCACTGGGTCCTGCCTGCACCCGGTCCTGCCTGCACTGGGTCCTGCCTGCACCCGGTCCTGCCTGCACCGGGTCCTGCCTGCACCCAGCCCTGCCTGCACCGGGTCCTGCCTGCACCGGGTCCTGCCTGCCCCGGGTCCTGCCTGCACCCAGCCCTGCCTGCACCCAGCCCTGCCTGCACCGGGTCCTGCCTGCACCCAGCCCTGCCTGCCCCCGTCCAGGGAGCCGAGCCCTGGGGCCAGGCGCGCCCTTCCCGCGGGCTCAGCCCGGTCTCTCCGCTGCCCTCCCCTCGCTGCCGCCGATGCCGGCTCCCATCAGTGCCTCCGCGGGAGGGAAAGGGCGAGCGCAGCACGTGGGGGAGCCGCTTCCTGCGCCGAACAAAGGAGCCGCCGCAGCCAGGAGCAGATGGCGGCTCCGCGCCCGGCCCGCGCCGCCGCACAATGGGGCCGGGGCCGTGGGGCAGCCCCCGCGCACGGGCACCGGGGCCGAGGGGGCGCGGGGCCGGGGTCCGGCTGCTGCCGCCTCCCGCTGCACCGAGCGGCCCCGGGACCTGCGGCTGCCGCGGCCTCCGGGTCCCCTCGAACAAACCCTCGGGAGCCGATCCCGGGCGCCCCGGCCCCGGTGCTCATGGCCAGGGTGCGCCTCACCCCTGAGCCTCGACATGAGGAGGTCCCCACCGTGCAGGGCTTCCTTGCGCTGGTCCAGGCACTTGTCTGAGCACTGACCAGAGCTCACCCAGTCCCTGGGGTGGTCCCTATGGGTGCTTGGGCCAGCGGCAGGCATCACCTCCCCAGCATGGGGCTGGCTCCAGGCAGGAGCTCCTGCTCCCTGCATGGGGCTTGTGGGGGCTCAGCAGCCAGCACTACCTGGGGCACTCCCCAAGCAAGCCCCCGGGACCAGCTCTGCTCTGCTGCCATAGCACTGCAGCCTGACCACGGCTCACCATGGCTGTGGGTTAGGCTGACAGCTCTCCTGCCCCAGAGCACTGCGGCTGCTGCTCTCCAGCACGATGCCATGGCTCAGCCCTGCACCCGTGCGTGCTCCTGGAGGCTCTGCCCCACAGGCGCCTCGCTGGGGCACGGAGCCAGCCCCACCACTGGCATCGGTGCCCTCAGCGCGGGCGCAGGCGCGGTGCTGGCTCAGCCGTGTCCCCGTGCAGGTGGCCAGGGGCACCGAGTGCACAGGATGGCGGCGGTCCCGTCCCTCCCCCTGCTCTGCGCCAGGGGCTCCCAGAGGGAGGCTCCAGCCGCATCCAGCCATGCCTCCCGCAAGGATTAAGGAGAATTACTCCCAGGCAGGGATGCACGAGCCGCAGGCCAGGCCCTGCCATCGGCCCGGGCACAGCAACAGCGTGGCACCAATGGGCACCCTCCTGCAAGCCAATGGCAGCAACCTCCTGCCTGCTCATTGGGGTGCAGGCAGCCCCCGGCACGGCCCCCCCCCCGTACCACCACAGCCCTGCCAGGCTGAAAGTGCCCTGAGCATCCCCAACCTGCCCTGGGCATCCCTGCATTGCTCTGAGCATCCTCAACCTCCTCTGAGCATCCCCTCTGTGCTCTTGCCCATCCACCCACACCCCCCATCCCCATTGCAGTGCCAGTCCCACACCAGCAGGATGCTGGGGATGAGATCTGGACCCCCGACTTCCCAAGATCTCAGCTTTTCTTCTGTGTTGCACAAAACACAAATCAGGTTTCTGCCTGACCCTGCTGCATTTGCTGATACTGGGTTTGCTACAGCCAGAAGATACAGATAACAAAGAACATGTCTCTATCTGTCCAGGTGGAATAAGAAAATGAAATAGGAATCTAAAGTAAGGGACCAGTATCTACTAAAAGAACAGCTCAGTTCAACCCAAGGATGAATAAACGAGGTCTGCAAGCCCGCTCTCTACAGGTAATTGTCTTATTTCTACAGTTGTACAGCACCCAAAGTGATGGATTAATTGAGTCCTGTTTGAGCAGGGAAATGACCACAAACCCACACTGCCGAGGTCCTTGGGGCTGAACGGAAACGGCCCCAGCAACCCGAGAGCACCAGTGTGCACTGGGTGGTGCTGATGGGATGATGCCAGCGCTGCTGGTACCCAGCCCTGAGCAGCGGCTGGGGCACCCCTCAGCAAAGCAGGACCTGGGGAGAGGGAGCAGGAGCCCTCCTGCTTTGGGTGCTCCCACTCTGCTGATGGCAGCATCGGCCACGCTCCCAGAGGATCCCATTGCAGTCAAACCCACCCAGCTCCCCAATCCCAAACCCCATGTCCGGAGCAGGGCTCCGGAGCAGCGGGAAGCGAGGCCAGGCTGTGCAGCCATCACTGTGTTCATTAGCAACCAGCACGAGCCCGGTGAGCTCCCTGCTCGCGGCTGGAGCTTGGCTGCACGAGGAGCCCCTCTAATGAGGATAATTGGGAGCCCCCCTGCTCCACCCCCGTGCCCTAATTGAAGCAGATGGAACTGTAAAAACAATGTCACTTCCCACCCGGTTTGATCTTTGCGGTGGAAAGCGGAGTATTTCATCCTTCTTTCTAACCCCCTCCATCGGCTGGAGGCAGAGGAGACCCCGGCACCGCCTGGGGGATGCTGGTGATGCTGCAGAGCCCAATGGAGGCTGCCTGGTTCCGAGGCCCCGAGTGCTGCCCTCTAAGAGCATGGCTGGGTGAGAAGCAAGGCCAGGAGGAGGCCACAGGGACACCACATCTGCATCGGCCTCAGCATCCCCTCAGCATCCCCAGCGGTGCTCGGCCCCAAGAGCAAGAAGCAAAATGGCTTCTTGGTCGGCGGCGCCGGGGAGGAGGGGATCAGTCACTTATTAAATGAATTAATCAGGGCTCAGGGTTTTCATTTGGAGGAGGCCGAGGGATTATCCTCGATTTCGGTGGGGCTGGATCCGAGGGGATCGGGAGGGGAAGGGGCGATTCCCAACACCTGCTCCCCGGGTGGTTTTCCCGGTGGGGAAGTGGTTGGGTTTAACGGGCGAAGGCCACAGCCCGGCTCTCCAAAGGCAGGGTCCAAGATGAATGGGGCAAATTGTTCCTGCTCCTGTCACATCTCCAGAGCGGACACAAAACCTCTTTTGACTCACAAACAATGAGCTTGTGTAAGAGCCCGCGGCCCACGGGAGCCTCGCCGCAGCCCCGCACCACGCGGTGGGCCGGGGGCTGCCCGCGCCCTGCCAGGGTGGGACCCCCTGCCCAGCACCGCCACGGCACCGCCTGGCCATTGCCAGCGCATCCTTGGGTGCTGCAGCCACCACCGGGTCCCACCAGTGTCTCATGGACCACCATGGCCTGCCCATGGCCAGTGGGGTGATGGCAGAGGCTGCTGCTCCCACCTGAGCATCCCCATCACAACCAGGAGCATCCTGCCCTGTTTCCACCCCATGGCGGCACCAGCACGGGCTGGAGCATCCCACCACCGCCCGCCTGCAACAACAGCCAGGAAGATGAAAAGTGCCATAAATTATTCACTCACAAAAGAGACGAGAAAGGGGAAGCAGGGGAGGAGGAAAGCCTGCGAGGAAGGGACTCTTAATACAAATTGGAGAGACCGAGTGGGAACGGGGCCCCCGCGGGGGGCACGGCTGGGCGGCAGCGCTGCATTCACTGTGAGTGAGCAGCACCCCGGGGCTCCTGCTCCCACAACCGGGCAGTGAGGAGAGGCCCCGGCTGTGCTGGCCGCTGTGGCCGGGCACCGCTCACAGGGCTGGAGCACGGAGCCCGTTCCCTGCAGCCCACGGCCTCCAAGATGCAGTCGGAAAGCAGCAGCAATGCTGCCGGGGGCCGCGGGGCGGTGGGGCTGGGGCAGTGTCCGGTTAAGACGCTCTATTTCCTGCCTTCCTTCGTTAGTGCAAACCTCGCCATGCCCCAGACACAGCGCCCACCCTCCCTCCCCGGCTCCCTGCCTTCGCCCAGCGCCGGGACCAGGCAGACATCTGGCCCCGCAGGACACAATGTGC